GCCAGTTCCTAACAGGCCACAGACCAGTACTGGTCCGCGGCCTGGGGGTTGGGGACCCCTGGACTAGATTATGGAATTTGTTTCAAGTACAGTAAGGCACGAGAAGTGAAGGTGTCTGTCCTGAGATTCCTCTAGTAAGTCAGAAAAAGGCAGAGTCAGGGGCCAAGGCTGTCACTCACCCAGTCCTCTTTCTCTAGCTCTTCTATACATTCTCACAGGAGATTCATTAGCAAACATTTGTGCACCACTGGCTGTGCGCTTAACATAGGCTCGCCCTAATGTTTGTGGGATGGGGAGGAGGGAGGGCAAGAGTACACATGGTGGCCACATACCATATTCAAAATATTTAAAAGTTATAAATCAAGCTGACAAACTGTTAAATAAAATGTGTTCTATCCTCTTACCTTGTCAAAGTTACCTTCATAATGATCTGGGAGGCCAGATTCAAGTTTGGCAATTTTGTATTGGTGCTTCTTTACCAGTTCTGAGATGGAACATGATGGTGCAGAGAGTGGCCCCAGCTCAAGGCTTGTAGTGCAGCATCCCTCTCTTCCCAGCCAGGGTCCATTCCACACCATAAGGGCCCTTTTCCACACATGTCCTCACTTGCAATCAGCTGAACCTTAAGGGGGGCACAGTGGTGAGTGGCACAGTCTACCCTCAGGAGGGTGGACTAAGAAAAGAAGGTTCAGAATCTGTTGAGCAGGGAGTTCTGAGGTCCCAGGTACCCAGAAACTGGGTGGAGATGTTCCTTGGCCCCATGACTCCTTGTCCTCCATCTTGCCCACTGTGTGGTGGTAGTGGCCAGGTGTTTGTGGGAGTGTGCACTTGGGTCAAGTACAGCCCTGGCCCATCCAAACACTATCAATGGCAAGGCTGATGCCTGCAGGTGAGGAGGAAGGGCGTCTGGAAGGGGCTTATTTCTTAAAAAAGGTAGCACTTGTACTGAGTCCACTGGGAAGGGTGGGCTTTCAGCAGGTGAAGTGGAGAAAGAAAGGAGCAAAGGCCAGGAGACCAGTCATCCAGGGTCAGAGTGTCTATAAATTGTGATCAGAGTGCAGAAAGGCTGGAGGCTAATATGTGTCCTCTGAATAACAGCTAAAGTCTCCAGTATTGCTACACAATGTAGAGTGGTGCCACCAGCTGTGGAGCTGGTGAGGGGCAGCCTCATGTATCAGAGCAGGATGAGACCCTACAGCCCATCCCAGGGCAGCTCTACGTTGGGCAAAAGGCCCAACGCCCCTCCCATACCATGTGTCCTTGGTCATCAGCACTTCTTTACCAACTCTAAACTGAGGACGCTTAGTTACTTCCAGCTTTCAGAAGGAATTTTGCCATTTGATTTGCGGAGAGAGATGACTCTGGAAAAAAGTTTTCTTTAGAGATTGGTGAGTGCATCAGCCTAGGCACACCAAGGCCAGCATGGCCAGGACAGCCAGGATGTAGCAGGTTTCCATGGATACCCAGGAGCTTGGTCTCAGCAGAACAGAGGGCCAGACCCTGCAGCCAGACCTGGTGGATCTGCTGGGGTCAGAAAAATGTGGGGACATCTGAACTGCTGCCATTACCTTGAGCAGATCCCCTCCACCACTCCCCTAAATTGGGGCTTTCTGAACTTTCTTGGGTGTAGGAATCTTGTTTAAATGCAAATGTTGATTTCAGAGGTTTAGGGTAGGGGTGGAGGTGCTGATATTTCAAATTTGTAACCTAGAAAGAAGTTTTCTTTAGGAATCAGTCAGAGCATTGCATCTTTTATGCCAGGTAGCCAGAGGCTGCTGGAAAATGAAAAACTCTCATCTCTGGGAGCGGCCCTCTACTGAGGGCAGGAGTTGGTGGATTAATGCTCCAGCTCCCTACCCTGAAGTTGAAGTATTTCTGAGATGTATGCTCTATACTGTCGCCCAGAGTTCACCACAGATTAGATTTTACGTGCCTGTTGTGCCAACTTGCTTGATAACACCATTGATTACTACCTTCCCTGCTGGTGCTTTCTGCAATCACCTCCCAAATCAAGTACTTCCATTCATATCCTTGTCTCTGAATCTGTTTCTGGGGGGAACCTGAACGAAGCGTAAGAACATTTCATGTTGCAGTTGTACCCAAGGTTCCTCATCTGTAAATAAAGATGTCGAAGGAAGTGATTGCAGAGTTTGCCACATCTGCCTTGTATCAGACAAAATGGCACCTGGCTTTGTTTCACTTGGTGCCAGGCTGAATCTGCCTGCGCCCTCTGCACTTACAGAATGGTCTTGTCTCTTGTGGTGTGCGTACATGTGTGCAACCAGGAGGAGTCAGGCAGAGAAATAGAAGGAATCTGGTTTAGTATTCAAGTCCCCTCCACAAGCTCCCTTAGAAGACTGCTGAATGTTTGAAATCCTGAACTTGGAAGGAAGAATTCTGTCTTCTCCTTTTATTAAAGGCCCCTTGCCGAGTTCCTGCTGGCTATCCCCCACCAATGCAACAGCAATTACAAAGAAACACTAGGAAGCTTTTCTAGAAGGCCAAAGTGCTGCAAAGGCCAAATATTGCATCCTGGGCCACCTTTATTTCACGTGCTCACTTAGCACAGCCCTCCTCCCCTTCCCTACCCTTTTTTTATCAGCTGCCAACTGCATTGTGACAGAGAGCCAGTCTGAGTGCAAACTACCCTCCTCCCCAGCCCTTGAGTGGCTGGGGGGTCACGCTATCTTGATCTTTGGATAACAGGATCCTATCTGAAGTTTCTCCTTGGGGGCATTTCAGTCAATTGCACTTCTTGTGACAACTTGTCCCCCCTTGCTTTTTTCCCCCTTGGGAAAAGTTTTTGATTCCAAGGCTGCTTGTCCCCCAGTTGGAGTCACCAGGTGGATGGGCCTCTTCTTGTTTCCCTTGAGAGTCTCTGATTGTTCCTTACTTTCCACTCAAGAGAAATGTCCGATTTCACAGGCAGAGATGGTCTTCCTCAGGAATGTCCTTGGCCCAGAGCAACTGAAAGCAAAGGCAACTCTAGAAGCTGCGAACGAGGGTTGAAGTTGCAGACAGGTTGCTTGCACAGCCGCGTTTCAGCCTCTGGCCTGCTGCTGGGGGAGTAGAGGTTTCCTTGGGCCAAGGTTTGCGATGAAGACTTCAAAGACACCTTCAATACTATTGGTCACAAGGGGAGTGTTGCCCACTGCTCCCCGCTAGGTAGGGCAAGCCCACCCCTGGGGACAGCAACTTCATTTGGGGGGCTTCCTCTATCCACATTCCTACCCCATCTTCCATATGGTTTTCTTCCCAGCAGAGGTTATGACCAGTTTAGCCATACTTTGGCTTTCAAGGTCCAAATGGGAGAAAACAAAAATTACCCAGGTTACAGCAGCCTCAGATGCTTAGATTCATACCCAGAGTCCTTGTTGAAGGGACTCCAGGCCTCTGCCCATCAGCCTAGGTACACCAAGGCCAGCGTAGCCAGGATAGCCAGGACGTAGCAGGTTTCCATCGATACCTGGGAGCTTGGTCTCAGCAGAACAGAGAGCCAGACCCTGCAGCCAGACCTGATGGATCTGCTGGCACCAGAAAAATATGGAGACACCTGAACTGCCGCCATTACCTTGAGCATATCCCCTCCACTGCTCCCCTAAATTGGGGCTTTCTGAACTTTCCTGAGTGTAGGAATCTTGTTCAAATGCAGATGTTGATTCCAGAGGTCTAGGGTGGGGATGGGGGGTACTGATATTTCAAATTCCTAACTAGCTCCCCATACTACCGCTGCTGGTCAAGGGCCACACTCTGAGTAGTGAGGGCCTGAGTCCTGATGGATTTGAGAAAGCCCAGCCAGATTCTAAAAATGGCCCATGGACTTGTTGCCTTGGGTGGTGGCCAGCACAACCTCAACTCCAAAGCTGAGACTCTAGCCTGATTGTCGTGAAGGGCCTTCTTTCCAGTCTGGTTTTGGATCATCCATCATCAACCACTCCAAAGAAAGTAAATCAGCAGCCTGCATTTTGGGAAAACATTATTTTAAGCTGTCCTGTCCTTTTCCACCTCTCCAAGTTATATAACATGTCCTTGTTGAAAATGCTGATAATGCTATTTGGGTGGCAGGAAGCCAATTTTTGGCTGCATATTGGTTGGGGCTGGGGCTGGGGTCAGGGCAGGAGGTGGGATCTGTAAAGGTTTTAAGAAGAGAAAGGGGCCTGGCAGATGGAGAGGCCAAAGCCTGGGGATAAAGCCGATTGGTGTGTCAGCAAAATCTGTCACTGGCTTTGGTGATTCAAAAGGCAGACACATTCTTTCATCTCTGGTAATCCTCATCCGATACAGGATTTTTCTGCCATTAAATCTGGAGAAAGAAAAATAAGCGCTCGAACCTGCACAAGCAACTCTTTGCCCCCTGCTCACCATCCCCCACCTTACTTTTTTGTTGGATGATTTAGCGTCTGTGGCTGCCTGACTTTGGAGATGACTGGGTTGGGGGAGCTAAAGGGCACCTCAGAGGAGGAATGGGACCGAGCAGACCCCCAGGACGGTAAGCAACATTTGGGAACTATTCATTAAGGTTTCTCTGACGAGATTTCTTGTCTGTCCATTTTCTTGCTGGGTTGTTGGTAAGTCCATCTGGGTTGCTGTCAAAGTTTTAGTCTGATGAAGCATTTCCAAATAGATCCAAGCTGTCAGTTTGCGGGGAGCTTCTGACTGACCGTTGTTACTGGTTTTCTTAATTTAAACCCAACTCCAAGATTGATGAAGAGAAGTGAGTGTGAAAAAGAGGGAAAAAGCAGGGCAGTCTGGAGGAAGTATGGAGGTGTGAGGAGGGGACTGAGTGTCCTGGTTCTCCAGGGACTGCTCTTGGGCACCTAGTGACCTGTGTTCTCTCCCCTCTGGTAGGGATCTCACAGCTGGGTGGTTCTAAGCCACTAGATTCGTGAAAGGTCACGGAATGCTGGTCCTGTTGCTGCATGGTGAGTTACAAGGCCCCCTCCTTCTGTCTCCTAGCAGTCAGTTGCCAGTAGCTGCAGGGGTTGGGAAGTCCAGAGAAGATGCTAGAAGATACTTGGAAACCCAAGGAGCATGGTCTTCAAGTGGCTTCCATGAAAGCTGTACCTGGACACTCGTTCTTTGGATTAGGTTTCACTGAATGTGTGATCGTGGGGGAGAGAATGGAGAATGAGAGAAAAAAGTAGGTGATGGGGTTTTTCATTTATTTTAAAAACAGAACTCCTGGGCCAAATATATGAAAAAATCATTTTGGTGATTTTTAAATTCTAATTTCAGTTATGAATTCATTGGTGTAATCACCAAAAACTACAGTGGTTTTCTAGTCACATTATTTTAAGCTCACTTACTTTAAAAAAAAAATCCCTTAAAGAAATTATATTCCTAAAGAAGAAGAAAACATGAAAACTATCTTGTTGGAATTGTGTGATTATGGATGTTGAAAAATTTTTTCCTAAGTTTTGTTCTTGTTGTTCTAAGGGTTTTAATATAACACAAAGACTCATCACAAATTTTTCCCACAGCTCTACAGTCCTAGATGCTCAAATCTAACTGAGATAGCCCAAGGAAAAAAAATCCCTTAAGTTCTACAGTAAATGATTCTAAACAAGCAACCTGTTTTTCTGACCCTCCGGTGAATGTAATTATTTGAATTTTTAACTACCAATGTAATAGACCTTTGTCTGCAATGCTGACAGAGAAAAATCTACCAGATAATTCTAAAATGGTACTGTTAGAATTTTCTTACTCTTTATTCTACCTTTTCGAAAAGGAGAACTTGCTCTATTCAATGAAACAACGGGTACACACTGTACCTTCAATACACTCAGGGGATATTATGAGAGATATGATTGCATAGACTTTGTCTTTGAGAAAGTTATATTCTTCTATGGGAGACCAAACAAATAAATGAGAAAAAAATTGAAACAAGGAGCAGGGAACACCATGATAAATAGGACATGAGTGCCTACCTCGAGGAGCTTGCAAAGGACAGAGGTTGACATTTATATAATTACAAACAGCCAGCTCTTTGTCATTTCCCCTACCTAGAACTGATATGAAGTTTGATTGACTCATTGGTCCAGAATGTTTGCTTCCAAGAACCAGTATTATTTTAAATGTCCACCAAAAGCTCTCCCATTCCTTACAGAATGCAGACAGTATTCATAGCCTGCTTGCTGCAAAACAGGAACTGTCCCTGCTGCAGGAACCCAAAATACATCCAGACTTCTTGTGACAAGTTGGAGAGCTTAGTGGTGACATCATTTGCTAACAATAGATGCACTTAAAATTAATGACCATCTCCATATCCCCTGGCACTTGAATTTAAAACACACTCAGCAGCACAGACAATATTCCTTTGACTACGAGTCACAAATATTACTGACGACATGTTCTCCAGAAGCAGGCAGAGCTAGAGCTTTCTCTACCTCAACTAGAGAAAAATGACTAAGTGAGCCCTACAAAGAGAATCAGAAGTGGCTCACAGCAGAGTAAATCTGGAGCAAAATGGAAAAAGAAGTTCTCTGGACAGGAGGTCTCCTGGCCTCAACTCTCATCCTTCCCCCATGTCCACCTCTTCAGGGCCATCTTTATGTTTCTCACAGAATAATGTCTCAATTCCTTAACTTGCTTTATAGGGTCCTTCACCAGTGGCTTGCTCTAAACTGTGAGTCTTTAAAAAGGGCAAGGGTTTATGTTTTATTCACCTCATAGTTTCTAGAGTCTGAGACATATTAGCTGCTTAATAAGGATTTGGTTGTTGAATGGGTAAAGCCACCCAGATTAGAACTGTTACAATAACTGATAAAAGCCTTGCATACAGAATATAAATGAGAATATATATGAGAATACATAAATAATATATATATTTTAAAACTCTTAAAACCCAACAATAAGATTACCTAATTTTTAAAACCAGACAAATTCGAAAAGCTATTTCATCAAAGAAGATATCCAAGTGCCTAATAAGCACATGACAAGATGCTCAACATCATTAGTCATTAGGGAAATGCAAATGAAAACCACAATGAGATGCCACTGCTCACCCACTAAGATGGATAGAATCAAAAAGGCAGACAGTAGCAAGTGTTGGTGAGGATGTGGAGCAACTGGGACTCTCACATGCTGCTGGCGGGAATGCAAAATGTCCAGCCACTTTGGAAAACATTTTCTTCTAAAGTTCAACATTTACTTACCATTTAACCCAGCAATCCCACTCCTAAATGAGAAATGAAAACACATGTCCACAGAAAGACTTGCACACAGGTCCTTACATCAGCTTTAGTCATAATAGGTGAAAACTGGAAACAATCCAAATGCCCATCAACAGGTGACTGAATATACAAATCGAGCTGTATTAGTACAATGGAATGCTGCTCAGCAATAAAAAGAAACAATCAACTGATATTCGGAACAATATAGATGAATTATGTTCAGTCAACATAATGTTGACTGAAAGAACCATTTGCTTCCATTTATTTATTTATTTATTTATTTATTTATTTATTTATTTATTTATTTATTGTTTTTTTTAAAATTTATTTTATGCCCACAGCACCTGGTATTCCTAGGTGGTCTCCCATCCAAGTACTAACCAGGCCTAATCCTGCTTAGCTTCTGAGATCAGACGGGATCGGACATGTTCAGGGTAGCATGGCTGTAGACCCATTTGCTTCTATTTATATGAAGTTCTAGAACAGACAGAACTAATCTATAGCTCAGAAAGCAGATCAGTTGGTTGCCCGGAGCCAAGGATGGGAAGGGGACAACTATCAAAGGGACCTGAGGAAACTTACTAGGTGGTAAAAATGTTATAAATTGGGATTGGGGTGGTGGTTACATGGATATATACATTTGTTATACTGATGGAACTGTACACTTCAAATGGGTACATTTTACTGTAAGCAAATTATGTGTCAATCAACTTGATTTAAAAGGAAAAAGGAAAGCTGTGGAGAGAGAGCAGCTGCACCCTAGGAAGAACAAATCCCTCATTACTGAGAGTCAGGCACTGTGGAATGTTGGGTAGTGTGTATGTGTGATTCATTGATGTCATCATATAAATCAGTGGTTCCTTTTGATTGCCATATAGTCTTCCCTCGTATGATTGTACTCATTTGTTTATTCGTTCTCCTATTGCTGAGCAAGTAAGTTGTTTCTAGTTTGGGGGCAATCATCAATATTTAGGCCCCAAAGTCTTTCTGGGGCCTAGTGTTCTACTCCGCAGATGAGACAGCTCTCCACCTCAAGATCCGCAGGAACTTCGAGGCCGTTAGCAGATCACCCTTCTGGAGACAGACTGCCTTTTCTCTCCCCCATGACTCACATTAGCCAGCAAACCTAGAGTATGAATCCATGATGCTTTCTTTTCTGTCACAAAAGGTGTGAGAAACAGGTTCTGGGGTCACTGTGAGGTCAGAGGCCATAGGAGGGCCTCCCCTGCTGCATTTCAGTTTTCCCCAGCCCATTTTGTTTTGAAAATCCAGCACTGGGTCTTGGCCTATGGAGCAATCGGGGTAGAATTTGCCAGAAGTGGGAGAGGAATGACTTCTAGAGCCAAAGGGGCTGAATAGATTTTGCTGAAACAGAAAATTGACCATATTTTCCCTTGCTATTTTGGTTTCATGAGGTACAAGTTCTTTGAAAACAATGAGAATGAAGAAACACTTCAAACTCAATTTGTGGTTGGAAACTCCATGAGTAACTCTTCTAGTAAACCTCAAGGGAGAAAAGCACATATTCGAAAAGCTGAGGGCTTATGAAGGAGAAATTCCTCAGCTGGTCTGCATTAAGACATCATTCTGTGTGGTGTGTGAGCCCAGCCGTCGCTACCTCTCTGCAGCTCAGGGTTGGGGTGCGAGGGGGTGCTGGCCAGGACACCGACCAGAACACAAAAGCAGGGACTCATTTCTGTTGTTTGCCCGAATTCAGGGACACCTTGTAAAAAAATTTTTTTTTATTGAAGTAAAATTCACAGAAAATGAACCATTAACTATTTTAAAGTGTACAATTCAGCAACATTCGGTATACTTACAATGTTGTACAACCATCACCTCTATCTAGTTCCAAGATATTTTTATCAATGTGAAAAGAAATCCTATACCTATTTAGCAGTCATACCTCAGTCTTCCCTAATCCACTAATCTACTTTCTGTCTATGGATTTGCCTCTGTGGACATTTCATATAAATGGAATCACGCAATATGTATTTTTGGATGTCTGGCTGGCTGCTTACAGCTAGCATAATGTTTTTGAGGTCCAACCATGTAGTAGCATGTGTCAGCATTTCATTTTTTTTTTATGGCAGAATAATATTCCACTGTGTATACACCATATTTTGTTTATCCATTCATTTGTTGATAAACATCTGTTGTCTGCATAGTTGGGCTATTGTGAATAATGTTGCTATGAACATTCGTGTACAGGTATTTGTTAGAATACCTTCTTTCAGGTCCTTTGGGTATATATGTAGGAGTGGTGTTGCTTTGGCATATGGTAACTCTATCTTACACCTTATAACATTTTATATCACACAGATGAATTCCATGTTTATAAAGTCGGTCCACCTAAACCCTTGTTTTTTTGACTTGGGCTGTATATTGGAATCACCTATGAAGCTTTAGCTGGACCAATGCCTTGTTCTACCTCTGAAGATTCTGATGTAATTGGTATGGTGTATGGCCTGGAAATTGTAAGCTGTGGGTGAGTTAAAAGTTCCTCAGGTGATTCTAATGTGCAGCCCAGGGAGAGAACTATTTTAGACTCTTCCTTGAAGTCTACTTATAGTAATAACTTCAATATTCTGACATTTGATGCCTTGCTTTCCCCTCTGAGGCAGATTTCCACATAGTCCTTGAAGTACTGGTCTTTTGGTGAGATTGAATCTTGTGACAACAGTGGCTCATGGAGTCTGCCCCGAGCTTTGCCCAATGCTTTCACAGCTGTTTCAAGCATTCCAACTTATCTCTTCCTCATAATTGTCCGCCTGTTACAGATGAGGAAACAGATGCAGAAAGGTTGCCTGAGGTTAAAGAAAAACCAAACCAAAACAAACCAAAACAAAAAAAGCGGTATGCGAGAGCAAGGATGAAAGGCGGTGTCATCAGAGTTTATGAGAGAACTAGAGTGAGAGGCCACACCCTCAGGATGAATGTTTCCAGACTGAATGCTCTGGAAAGCCCCACATATGAATCCTGAACTATGACAGAGGCTGGCTGAGCCGGGGCCAGTGCTGCTGAGTTTCTCATCTTTCCCTCCCTACCTCAGACTGGGAATGAAAGCACTGAAGCCTTTTCAGATTTCCATATGGATCCTTCCCAAAAGTACTAGTGTGAGAAGAGAAATTACTAAGCAACTGCCAATGCGTTTGACCTTCTCCTCTCACAAACTGTGATCTTTATTTTAATTTGGTAGATGTTTTTCTGGCCAAATATTCCTGTGGAACTCAACTCTGGACAGCTTGCGAGATTTGTTTTTGGAATGATCATTGTTTATTCCAGGAGAGGCCACTTTTCATTTGGATTTGGGAAAATCAGGGATGGCCTAAATAATTTTTAATTCAATTTTCTCTATTTCCTGGCAATGAGTGATAAGGAGCTTACTTTTGGGTGAGGGGCACAGCCTGGCTCCAAATTTGAGTCGTTTTCTCTTTCAAGGCGAAGAGTTCACATGGTTCTTTGGGGAAAGGGGCAAGGCCCAGAAAGAGATGATATTTGAGAGATTAAGGGAAACTGTCTTACTCAGGATGTTGCTCAGGGATCTTGTTGCGAACCGTAGAACTCACTAGAGGTCTTTGAAGCCAAGAAGGGATTTATTCAGGGATGTCAGGTGTTCCTTGGCCTCCAGATTGGAGGCCCACCGCCTAAAGCAATGCCTAAACCAGATAGTGGGGTAGTTCCAGCAAAGATCCCGTGGCCACCACCACTGGCGATATACCTTGAAGCTCATGGGAATCGTGCTGGGTGCTGGGTGCCAGAAATTTCACCGTGGGTGCCTAAAAGCCAGATGCCTGTGCCACCATCCTGGCCAGAAAATGGTTTCTGCCTGGCACCTACTTCTGAATCCAAGTCTCTCTGGGTGTGTGTGCTCTACAAAGCTAGGTCATATGCTTTGGCCCTAACTGCAAGGGAAGTTGGGAAAGAGAGTTTTTGGTTTCAGTCTTGTGGAGGCAGGACTTATAATGTAGGAAATTCCCTAAATGTAGAAAGAGTGCTTAAAGGGTGCCAGGGAGCCAGAAACAGTGTTAAATGTCCACTACTATCAGAGGTGGCTTGGTTGCAAGGAACAGAAGTCCACTCATCCATGCAGATGGTTTGAGGGGGTTTCTGAAATGGAAACAGGAAAATGTCAGAGAAACAGCTATAGCAGGCCCGTATGGGAACTACAGAGCTGGCCAGCAGCTTCTCACTCTCCCTGATCTCCATCTCTGTGATTCTCACGTTGGATGTAGTCATCTCTCTGCACACCAGGTTCCTCACCTTGTCCTTGGCTCCTGCTTTCCATGTGGCTTTGGTACAAATCCCAGCCCCAATGCCATACAGTTTGGTGCCCACACTATTTCACTGTCTGGTCCATGTCCACGAGGAGGGAATGAATCTGATTGACTCTGCTTAGGTCAAATGTTCACCTGCAGCCCAAACAGCTATGGCTGGGAGGAGGTGGTAGAGTCACGTGGGTTTCTAAGTAGGATGTTTTTCTTAGATGCATGCTTGGCGATAGCTGCTGTACAGTCATGGAAAATGAGAGCCAGGAGGGCCCCGAAAGGTCAGGAAGTGTATGCCCTTCAGTTTACAGTTAAAGAAGTGGAAGCTCAGAAAGGCTAAGTGTTAAATGTCTAACCATTATGCTGTACACCTGAAACTAATATAAAATAATATTGAATATTAACTCTAACTGAAGAATAAAAACTAAAAGAAAGAAAGGCTAGGTGTGTGGGATGGAGGATAGTATAGTATAGCATAGTGGCAAGACAAAGAACAAAGGTTGGTGTCACTTAACCACCCTGAACCCGTTTCCTCTTTTGTGAGAAGGGAATAATGCTTCGCAGTATTGTCATATTAAATGAAATAACGTATATAGCAAGCTTAGCCCTCAGCAAACACTAATTAAAAGTTGGTTGTTATAAGAGCAAAAGAAACCTATGAAATTTGATTAATTTGAGTAGTGTTATACATGCTCATATCACCCAGATAACATTCCTAAACTATGTCCTGTAGATATTTGCTGTCTTTTGCAATGCAGTCCATCTGGAAGCCTTGTTCTGTTGAGTTCCCAGAGCCACTGCCAGCAGGTCTGTTCTAGGACTGCATTTAACTGTAAATTGTATAGTATGTACTCTTTTATGTCAGGTGTCTTTGCTCAACATAATATTTTTGTTGACTGTATCAGTAGTTTGTTTCTTTTGCTTGCTGAGCAGTATTCTGTTATATAAATGTAATTCTCTGCTGTACTGGTGGGTAATTTGCAGTGCTTATCTGTTATGAATAAGCCACTATGAACATTCTTGTACAGTCTTTATGCGAACATTGTTTTTCATTTCTCGCGATTGAATGCCTAGGAGTGAAATTGCCGAGTCATGAGGTGCACATATGTTTAGCTTTAATAGACACTGCCAACGTTTTCCAAAGTTATTGAGATATTTTCCACTCTCACCGATAATCCAATTATTCTATATTCACCAACACT